GCCGCCAACAATGACAATGACAATGTTCCTAATTACAGCTTTTGGTGGTACTACGATAAATTAATCTTGTTGGTACAGGGCCAGCTTTCAGGGACTCGGCAGAATCCTCTAAAAATAAATCTGACAGTAGCAATGGCAAGAATGAAGAGACTTGAATAATAACGAGAATACGTATGCTTGCCCGCAGAGATGCTGGTGCTTGTGATTTAAGCTGCATCCCCTCCACGACATGTGGGATGGTTGCTACAAAAACAACCCTTCATTCAACATGCGGTTGTGTTCACCCCGGTGTCACGCACTCGTGAGTCCAAATAGTGGCTGAAGCCCATGCTGGCTGGCTTGCTGGCCTGGACGACTTTCTCGGTGCCGCTCAAAGCCTTCACCTTCAGCAAGGAATCCCCAAAATGTTCCCAAAATGTTCAGTAAAGGTCTTGACGCCGCGGCCTTTACGTCAAGGATCCGCGTCTCTGCCCTTGGTGGCACTTGCGAACGAATTAACGCTAATTACTAACTTTGTCGTCCTAGGTGTCTGGCACTGGCACCTGCTTCTCTAAATGATTGCTGATGCTCTCCTGCTTTGCATCGTTGGTTGGCTGAAGCCCGTTGCACTGCTGCAAAGACCACATCCAGCCTTCAAGACTTCCCGGAACCATTGTGCGAATTCCTGAGTAGCACGGAGTCCAAGGGTTCAGGATACGATTACAGCATGTGCAAGAAGCCTCCTCAGAAAGAGAGTCCTTGTCTTCCCCTGCAGAATCTGATTTAGGAATGTTGCTGACAGACCCAGGGCTAGGACGCCACAAATATCCCTGGCTGCTGTGCCTCCAGCAAACTGCTTGGTGGACGACTCTATGGCTGCCTGGCCCCAGACGAAGATTGCAATAGTTCGGGATCTAGGTTGGAAACTTCCATGTGGCCAGCACGCGGGCAAGCTAGAGCGCGTCCTCGATGTTGTCTTTCTCAACAGACATGCCCAAGCCTGTCAGGGATTGGTCACATGACGTCTGTCCTTCCGTTGCAAGAACTTGGCAGCTCCAAGGGAAAGCCAAAACCAATTGTAAGCCACCATCATGACTTATGACACATGTACCATCAACGGCAACCAGATTTAGCTGGATACAAGCAGGCAAGCTTGTTTTGGGATAATCTCAACCCAGGGACTGAGATGCAGGTCTTGACAAAGCTTTGTCGTCTCTCTCAGCCTCAGCACGTGGGCTGCGACAGGACGGCCAATGATACTAGCCCAACCTACTTATTGAAGGAATGCAAAACTCGGCAGCTCTGGACGACTAAGATCAGTGCTGCAGGCGTCCGTCGTTGTTTGCATCATACTTTCGGAAGTGCTGCCTTCTTTGCACGTTACATCTGCCAGGAGTCATGATGAATCATGTCTGAGGGCGCGACTTGCACAAATCCGAAAAGAGCTTGTCAGACTTCATCAGGGCAGCAGCATACCTTGCGCACGCACATGTCTCCAGACAAACTTCCGTCCAAGTACTGAGCGAAGTCCAAGTCACTCGGGGGAGAGAACTTGCCTAAGAGATCCAGAGTCTGACTGCATACAGCCAATTGCATGGATCTGCAACCGCCAAAGCTGAGGCGCAAGCACTGGAGCAGGAGCTGCCTGGCTTTTCTTTGCACAAGATGGCTGAGGAGTCTCGTGTTCTTGCAAGGGCAACCTCCACCTTCTTGCCAGACTCATCGACACCTGTTGTCAAATGAGTGTCGCTGTACGAGCATGTGCCGCCACTCGTCACGGATCTACCACAGCTTTGCCTGGACTATAGCACGAGTTAATCACTTCCCGAAACGCCTATCACCTTCATGCAAACCTAGAAC